TTCATTTGAGATTTGAATTTTGATGTCTTTGGGTATGTCTAGTATTACATATACATATGCATTCAAAAGAGTAGTTGAGATATGTATAAACAAAAGGCAAATCTATTTATAAACAAAAGACAATCTTTATCAAGAACATCCGCCGAAATCAATCTATTTATAAACAAAAGGCAAATTTAATCTTCGTACATAAAACTTAGTATTTGAAGTACACATAATCACAATTAACATTCATAGTGTGTTCCCCAAGAATGTTGACAAGGAGGAGGCTGTTAAGAAATTCTTCATCATGGTGCAGGGGGTGGAGGTTGACTGGAGGAGGAAGATGCTGTTGAGAAGTTCTTCATCATGCTAAAAATCTTTGTCATGCGTTCCCCAATGATGTCAACTGTTTCTTCTATTCTTGATGCGAACGAGTTGAAATCACTTTGCAATTGATCATGTTGTTCTTGCATTTTCCTCTCAATACGTGAAAAATGCTCCTCTTGAAACTTTTCCATTCGCTCAAATCTGCTTACTATTTCGTCTAATGTATGAGAAGACATATCTTCTACATTTTGACATGATCCAGGTTCAATACTCGTTCTTCTCCTTTTGCGCACATAGACTTGTCCTTCATTTACCCCTTTTGGAACATTGACACCTTCTTAAACCGTTGCATCTCCCTCCATTTCATCCCTAATCACAAACCATTCTCCTGCCATATTCTTTTTAATCAAACCCATTTTACATAATGTGACATGCCCCAACACATTATTTGCAGAAAACTTAATCTTATTTGCTTCATCATTAGGGGTGATCTGAATACCCAACTTCTCATATATTAACATAACAAGCATCCCCCAATATATTTCTCCATTTTCTGCTTGAATCTCTCCCAACTTCTTAATCAATAACTTTGCTGAATTTACTTGCCTCCCTACTATTGCTGCTTCCATGAACATTAAATCCTTAACCGTCATATTTCTATTTGTCTCTTTCCTACCATTAAATGTGTAAGTCAGATATCTGTGAAATACTCTCATAGTAGGATTCTTAAACTTTGTAGATTTACACCTATGTGGATGGTAAATCCCTATCCTAGAAACATCCATCCAAGCTTGTTTGGAATCCCACGTTCTAGATACGTTATCCAAACCTTCAAAATCAAATCCTATCCAGGTTGCTAAATCTTGTGGTCTCACTACAAAGTTCTAATTCTTTAATCTAAAAAACATTGTATATGCCATAAACTCATCAGTATCTATCTCCACAACTTCCAACTACCAAAAAACTCATAGATCAAATGCTTATATCCATCATATCTAATACTCACCAACCGGTCCCATTTCAAATTATGAATCCAACCATTCATTTCATCACCTACACCTAAACTTGTTATAAGTTCTAAATCCAAACTTCTTCCAAGGCAAATGTCTCTTTTCGACACCTCCTCGTATTGTTTTTTATGTCGCAAATCTCAAAATTGGATTCCAGATGACGATGTGCCTTCATGAGGAATGGTTGTATTTTTTGCTCTCACCATTTTCTGCTTTCTTCTAAAACCTATATATATAAAAAAATTCATCATCATAATCAGTCATAACTAAATTCATCATCATCCCTTACTGTTAGTCTACCAATAGATGATGTACATGGTTAATAAGATAAGGCATCATCATGTACATGTTCAACTGCGTATGAAAAATCAAACTTACCTATCAACAAGAATATTTCCTATTCTATTTCACTTCATGCTAATGAAAACACTCTATGGTAGACTTTAATATTCTATGTTAGAGATGAGACACATGGCCAACTTTAAACTAGAGATGTAAGAGTTAGAAGCAGACTCACCCAGACATGTTTGCTGAAAATCAAATTATTGTATGAAGCATAGAATTCCTTTAATAGCATAAAAATTCCTCAAATGCTCAATACACCATAGGCCCAGATAAATATTATAAAATCGGATTATGTCTAACTGAAAAAAAAAAACCTAAACTCCAAATATATACCTGTCAACTACCAAGCCTATTTGCACCTTGTCAATATTTTAAGATAGGGCCTACTGTAAAACTTCGTTATGGAACTGAGTCACAAACATTATGATCAGAGCGGATAACTACCTATGCAATATTACACCTTTATCCTCAATATTTTTACTAACCATGATTAGCAATAAAGGTGTAATATTAAGGATAAATGCCATCATGTAATATTACACCTCCCTCCATTGCCAATTCCAAAACCGTTTGATAACCACCCTCAGTTGCCAATTCCAAAACCTTTTTATAACCATCCTCAGTTGCCAATTCCAAAACCTTCTGATAACCACCTTTAATTGCCTTTGCCTCCTCTCCCGTTTCCAAAACCTTCTGATTCAGGTAAGCAACCACATTTGCCTTTGCCTCCTCTACCGTTTCCAAAACCTTTTGATTCAGGGCAGCTACCACATTTGCCTTTACCTCTTCACCCACTTCCAAAACCTTCTGATTCAGGGCAGCTACCACATTTGCCTTCACCTCATTTGCACGGTGCAACAGGACCAGAGATCCCAAAATCTTTTGATCCAGGTAAGAAACCACAATGAACTCAGTCTTTTCTTTCATCTTTATTATCATCATTTAAAAATGCATGCACAAAAGAAACAAATCGTTATTCTTGTTGACAAATTGATGATCCCTAAAGATAACACATCCTTGCAGCTCTTGCAAGTATCAATTGCACATTCCACTTGAACTACTTTGTTGGTGCATAGCAAACTAAGGTGGCAATGATATATCGTTATGAAGTCTTTGCTATGTCATTGCGAGGGATGCATTTTTGTCTTATAATATGGTTAAACCTACATATCATCAAATTATTGCAAGACTGAGTTGTATAATCCATGTTGGAGATTTAACCCATGACTAAAAGTGTTTAAAGCAAGTGGAACTATGGCCCGTCACTGAACATCACAATTTTGCTGGACATGATAATGCCTCTGCTCCAACGACGAGTTCACCTACAACTCTAAACTCATCCGTAATAGTATCCAGAGGTTCTATAGTAACAACACAGATTTTCAAAAGCAATAGTTGGTTTCTACTGGGAATACTGATTTCCCTTCTTTTCTTCTTTCATACATAGTGTTTCAGGCATCATATACATAATAATACTCATTTAGATGTTCTCACTTTCAACGTTAAACAAAAATGTAATTGCCTCCACCAAGTATATGAAGAAAATAAGTCACCTATCTTTTAGGCATAAATGTGTGGTTCTGATAGCAACCTCCATCTTAAGTGAGACGGCACAAACAATTTTAAGTTTGTTGGTAGAAGCAAAGCGTTCTCTCTTTAGTGGAGCAATATTCAAATTCAAAACCTAGAAGTTTTGGTTTTATGTCTATAATTGTCTCCCATCATTGCATGCTAAATTATTCAAGTCAAATATAAGTGAACTTATATATTGCACGTTAAAGCTTGATCAAACCTTTCTAATGGCGTGTAACTCCAAACTCAGACATAAAACTTTACAAAATTCAATTGTCTGACACACTCTATTGTCTGCCCCAAAAAGGTAACAAAATTTTGCATCAAAAAATACACGCTCAAAATGGCAGGTGGCTTCACCTCTATCATCAATCAAACACAACTTCGAAAAATGGCAGATGGCTTTGACGACTTGGAGCGGTAGATGAGGAACCAAGACAACGAATTGAACGCTGTAAAACAAGCTCAATCACCAATCAAAACCAATAAAACGTGATTAATAGAAACCAAATAGACTAAAACAATTACAATAATAATGGTAGATGAGGAACTTGAAGAAGAATAGTGGTAGATGAAGAACTACGAAAAGAAGAGCGGCAGATGAGAACATCGATGAAGAAGAAAAGCTGAGATGAGTAATGAAGACGAAGAAAAAGAGCGGAGATGGGGAATGAAGACGAAGAAGAAGAGTGCTGTTTTTTAAAATTATTTGGAAGCCAAATTAATTTGACCTAAATCCCATTTAAAATACTCATTGCACAATAGACAGACGTCCATGTAACAAGGATGCCTGTCCATTAATCAGGGACGTCCGTCCATAAAATATAGACGAACGTTCAAATTTTTTTTTTTTTATATAATTTAAAGTCTGGACGGGTATCCATTATGTGTGGACGCCCATCCATTATTCAAGGACGGCTGTCCATAATATATGAACGGGTGTTCCTGAATTTTGTTTATAATTTTGTCAAACCGTTAATAATGGACAGGCGTCCATTAAAGGTGGACACCCATCCATTATTAATGGACGCCCGTTCATATGTTATGAATGGGCGTCCATTAATTTTTTTTAGAAATATTTTATTATTTAAAGTTTGGACGGGCGTCCACATATCCATTAGTATGGACTTCCGTCCATTGAATGTGGACGGAAGTCCATGATTTTGGTTTTCAAACTTTTTAAATTTAAACTATGGACGGACGTCCATTATAGGTGGACACCTCATTTCTCATAATGGACGGGAGTCCATCGTTCATTTCTCATAATGGACAGGAGTCCATCGTTCATTTCTCATGGACGGGCGTCCACATATAATGGACTCCCATCAAATAACAAGAACAGTCGTCTATAGTTGATGAATGACCGTTCACTGACAAAATATTTGTGAATATAAAATGTGATTGGTGTGAGTCATGGGACACATAATTTGGTGTAAAAATTTTGTGAACAGTCCCAGTGTTAGTAACATTATTTGTTACAATAAGACTACATTGACCGACTGAAATACCGATTGACATATCCTGACTGACGTATCAGTTTTTTTTTTAAGCTTTTGGGCGTGAATCTGACATGTGGCATATGCCACGTAGACTGACACGTCAGTCAGGATATATCAGTCGGTATTTCAGTCGGTCAATGTAGTCTTATTGTATTTGTTAACATATATATGCAAGTCACTTTGGCAAATTCCCCCTCTAAAAATAATTGAGAAAGTAACAGCAAGTACTGACGTGGCAAAGCCATCACCCGAATCTTCAGTCGGTAAAGAGGTCATAAAATTCGGGACCCTCAATCGTAAACCCTAACCCCGCCACTATAAAACGCTTAAAAAGGGCGCCTTCATTTCCAAGTTCAGCCTCACTGAAACTAAAAGCAAGCCATCAAAACTTCCTCCAGACGACGCCGTTTCGATTCACGGTAACCTTGACAACTCCGCATTCTCTTCCATTTAGCTTATTTTCGGATTTTTCTTATATGAAATTCTGAATATAACCTATTTTTTGTTGATTAATTAATTAATTAATTCGTGAATTGTTAAAAAAAAATTATTGTTTTTCTTGTTTGCTGACAAAGAAGAAGATTTAATTGAAATGTGTTCGCTTAGAGAGAGGAAAATGGATCGGTACCAGAAAGTGGAGAAGCCGAGGACGGAGGCTGCTATAAGTGAGAATGAGTTGAGAATAACGGCTCAAGGAAGACTCAGGAATTACATTTCTTATGCTATTTCTCTCCTGCAGGTATTTTTTGTCCAAATATGAGTACTTTTTCTTTTTTAATTTATTAAGATTGATTCTATGAGATGTTCCTGATCAGGATAAAGGTGCCAATGAGATTATCCTCAAAGCCACTGGCAGAGCTATTAATAAGACTGTGATGATTGCTGAGTTGCTTAAGGTGCCTATTTATTTAACCTTATTTGTGCCATTTCTCCAAAATCAATACATATTTTTAATGTTGAATAATTTACGATTTAAGTTTGTGGCATAGGGTGTCAATGTTTATTCATGTTGAATGCGTTTTGCTTATTTCAGAGAAGGATTGTTGGTCTCCACCAAAATACTTCAACTGGGTCTATTGACATAACCGACACATGGGAGCCTCTAGAAGAAGGGCTTCTTCCGTAAGAACTATATCTCTTGGTGTTAATTAATTTGTTGATATTATTTGGCTGATTGATGATCTGTTTATGCAGATTAGAGACTACCCGTCATGTTTCAGTTATCACAATTATTTTGTCTAAGAAGGAGCTGGATTCATCTTCCCCAGGGTAATGACAACTGAAATTAGATATTTTGAGTTTTTGGTGTTTATGATATGCTAGTTTTTCGTGCATTCTTTTCTATTGAAGCCATTGTAGTTGCTTTGTAGTGGTTGATTCAATGGAAATGATTTATGAGAAAGAATTATTAGATTATTGGATATACTAGAGTTGTTAGAGTTCCATTTCAATGTCATCAATAGTTTAGATATGTGTGTGATGTTTTCTAATAAAGATGGTTATAGGAGCATCATGTCATTTTTTTAGCAATCATGGTGGATTTTTGAAGAAGTTTTTGGGCTCAAGTAAAACTTTGGTTTTGAAAGATGCTTTAAATTAGATGAGTCGTGATTAGTCAGCTGGATACGTTCATATTTATATGTACACTTTTAAATCACAAGGATGCTGCGGAGAGATCCTTGACTAGCTATTTGGTGCATTCTTGTGGGGTTTAGTTACTTCTAGTTGCTGATCACCCTAACAAGGTTGATATAAATGGAAGATAATGTGAGATTCATGTTTTCTCCATTACGGCCATTGAGGATTCTATAAAAACACCCTTTACCATGTATATGTTAATATGATGACAACTCTGGTGTAATGCAAACTTTGAAGAATTGGCAATGTCCAGTCAACAATTAATTTTTCTAACGCACTCATTGTGTAATTTGCATCATATGCCATGTTTGAAAAAGATGGTTTATTGACTTTATGTAGACTAGGTTCTGTGTATTGTGATGGAATTGAAATAATTTTCTTGTTATCCATTCTTTGTGTTTTTGCTTCTCATCTCCATGTCTTCACTTATGATGGTACTGCTTGTTGCATTATGACGTGCTTTAGAGAAATGACCCTTGTGTTCTGTGATGCATACAAGCATAATGTATTTACAAAACTGTTTATTGTCTAACTACTTATGCAGGGATTCTATTGACAACTTTGATGCATGTTAATTTTATTGGACTTTTGTTTGCATAATGACAGATACCAATCACCAATCCCAGTTGATCAAGTGAAGCCGTTAACTGAATATTATGATGGAGGTGAGCAATTTTTAATTTTTTTTTTTTTTTTTTTTCTGATTGTGCAATTTATTCACTCTAATGTGTTAGTCTAAGTTAATATATATACTTCTCTCTCATGCAATTTAGAAGCCGCACCTGGCATGCGAGGCAGGGTACGTCATGATCAAGGTCAAGGAAAGAACGGAGGTAAGGGCAATTCCATGAGTAGAGATAAGTTTTTAACTGTTTCCATTGACCCAGTATACGCGCATAGTCCTTTTTAATGCTACAATATTATTGTGATCAACAATAGCTTATTCACAGGGGCAATATAAAATACATAAGTTTTGAGTTATTATCAATATGACAATGTTGGTATTTCTCAGCTATGACACAGAGAATGATATTACTTACTGAATATGTATGGTTGTTAACTTACTAGGTTTTTCATGGAGACATTTTTAAGTGGTTCTTGGTGCCACAATGTTGAAATTATTGTATTTGTTTTTTAGATATTGGTGGTGTTAAGATTGGCCTCATTTTTTTATTACTTCTACTATGTTGGCTGGATAGAATTTGCTCTGGCTGTTCCATGTCATATCCCCTACTGAATTCACATGAGCATGTTGTGAAACAGCAAAAACTTCTGGTGTTTCTGTTTATGCAGGTACTGGCAATGGTTTAGCCGAGTATAGTAATGGACATTGGGATGGTGGACGTGGATATGGAGGTCGAGGTCGAGGTTATGCAAGAGGACGCAGTTCCCGTGGACGCGGAAGGTGGTATGGTGGTGGAAACATGCAGCATGAGTCAGGATATAACAATGGTTATAGTGGATCAGGAGCCTTCCCTCCTCAAGGACGAGGTAGTTTCTATCTTTATTCACAAAGCTTTCTCTTGTCCTTTTAGTCTACTGTACATCTTTAAAAGAACAGTTACACAGTGTGCAGCCAACATGAATTCATTCTCTTTCGAAATCTTTTGTGTGGTTCATTTCTGTCTATTTTGCTGATGCAAATCCAATCCCTTGTATGTTTTAAGCTTTTCTTAATGACTTTGGGTGGTCATTAGTTTGTAATTATAATGTTCCTACTGTTAAAATTTTCAATCTTTTTAGTTCAGTCAAATGTATATATAGGAAAAGTATTTCCCTCTTGCATGCATAAGTATGTACATTGTTACCTACCTACAAGCATATAGTGGACTCGTGATTACTATCTTTGGTTTCCGATTCAAAGTTTTAATTATCTAATGGTTTGCCTGCAATACAAAATGCCCTGTTAAACTAAATCAACTTTTAGAAACGCCCTATGTATAAAATAATATGAAAAAGGACTCCTGCTTTCATCTCTGATTTTGGTTGTGCTAATCTGTTCAATAAATATATTCTTTCCTGTTGTTTTATCCAAAGTGAAAATAGTTCTCTGAAACATCTCTCGATTTAAGCTGGTTTTTCTCTTTTAAAAGATATGCTTCAGACACTGCTAAAAGTTTTATATCAAATGAGTAACTATGTTAAGCAGTGATTACCTGTTCGCCTGGTACCAATAAATCATAACCATGTTGACAAACTGTTTCCTGCTGTGATTTGTTTGCAATAACTAAGATTCTGTGGGTTTGCTCATGCACTTTATTATTGTTTATACAACGAATATGTTATATTGCCTTCCCTTTTCTCATTGTTTTCGTTGGCATGGTCAATTTTGCTGCGAATATAATGCCATTCACTTGTTTAGCACTTTACTCAAATATTTATCCATGTAATGTTGCAGGGCGTGGTCGTGGAAGGGGAAGCGGTCATGGTCATGGGCTAGGTTTTAGATCTGATGGGCCAGTCCAAGTCCAAGCAACTGCTTGAATGCTAAACTTTGGAGGTACTACTTTGGTATCTAGTTGAAAAGTAGTATGGGATGCCTGTTCAGCACTTGATCTTCTAAAGTTAAATGAACTTTAGACTTAAATTATTTATGGCAGCGGTTAGTTACTTATGATTTGTACAAGATTTGGCAAATTTGATCTTCTGTAGGTTGCAATTTTGTAGGAAGTAGTAGATAGGATTGTGAAGTTATCACTAGTCCTTAGTTAATGTTGTATAATTTCTGGAGTTTTTTCTTTTTTTAAAATGTCAAAACTCTTTTCTATAAATAATAGAGCAGTGCATTCTTTCATTATGATTTTTTTGGCTTGCTTGTTTTCTAGAATTAATTAAAGAAAGAAGTTTTGTTGTTAAGGGTAGCCTCATTGAAGTTCGTTGAAATATGAGTTAAAAGACATTGATCTGTTAGAAGAATGTAATAATATAAATCCTGATGAGGTTTCTTAAATAACAAAAACCTCTCTATCGTAAGTCATTACATTTTACACTATTATGAGTTTATAACTATTTATCGAATTGCTTTCTTGTTGATAATTTTAACACCTAAAACTTAATAGGTTATTTCCATTGCTTTCTTCTTCCTTCTTCTCGTCTCCTCTTTTATTTCTTCTAATCTTCTTCCTTCTTCTATTCTTCTTCGTCTCCTCTTCTTTTTCTTCCTCTGTTCTTTTTGCTTACTCTCTCTTCGTCTCCTCTTCTCTTTCTTTTTCCTTCCTCTCCCCTTGCTTCTTTGCATGGTAGATTTTAGAGTAAGTGAAGAAGAATAAAAGATGAAAATGAAAGATACAATTTGGTCTTTGGAGATGAAAATGGTATTGAAATAAAATGGAGAATGTTTGCTGGCTCAATGAAATGAAGAATGAAACGGTGCTGCAAATCTGGTTTAGGAATTAGGGATCAGATTAACCCTAAAATAGTGAACCGATTTAAGCTCCAAACCGGCCAGACCGACGATTTTGTACTACTCCACTAGTCTATAACCGGTTCAAAGCGAGTTGTATGTTATTTCTGGTTTTTATGTTAACTTGAACCAAAGTTAAGGTCGGGTCCCGATCGAGCCAGTTGGATCGGTCGGTCCGATCTGGGTTTTAAAACAGAGGTTATTTCATAAAGCTTAGGGTGAATTTTATTATTTAGTCAAAATTTTGAAGAGATATAATTCATTAATTTGAACAATAAAGATTGACTCATAACCAAATCTTGTAAACTTTCTCTTACAACCTTGACATGTCAACTTATAATTGGTCAGTTTGCAATGGGTTTCGCCTCTCCAATTGCGAACTGATCAGTTGCAAGCTACTACGTCGTGGTTGTGAGAGAAAATTTATAAAATTGGATTGTAAGTGTAGTATTGCCCTTAAGTCTAGATGTTTGGATTATAAATCAAACGGTATTATAATTTGAATGATACAATTGCTAGCTAAACATATATCAAACGTGTACTGCATGTGGACTAGTCTATTCATTTAACTACCTTATAACTTTGTCAACTCAAAAAGTTTATATATTCTTATATTTTGGTATAACAAGACAATATATCAAGCAATTTTGGATTCATGTATCATACATGCATATGTTAGCCATATCAAGGAAGCATTAATTCTACAAATTGGCTTTTAATCTTCCAATAACAATATTGTTTTAACTAATCTAAGAGCATCTCCAAAAGACTCTTTATATGATTTAAACTCTTTATTATGAATAGTGTATCTATAAAAACAAAAGTCAACAGACTCTTTATTAAATATAAATTAAAAAGTGAGTTTGACTCTTCACATCTACAGAGTCAAATTTACTCTATCCTAATTTTAATTAATAAACTACAAGTTTTATGCATTTTATTTATTAATTCTCTCTCATATTAAGTCTCTTTTTTGAAAATAAAAAACATCTTTATTAAATTTGAATAAAAATTTTGTTTTTTATATTTATAAATTAATGAAGATGTTCTTTATTTATATAAAAGATGCTCTTTAAAATAAAGAGAACTATTAGAGATGCTTTAAGAGCATCTCCAAATGACTCTTTATATGACACAAACTCTTTATTATAAAGAGTTTATCTATAGAAACAAGAGTCTAATAGACTCTTTATTCTTTAAATATAAATTAAAAAGTGAGTTTGACACTCCACATTTAGAGAGTCAAATTTTACTCTCTATCCTAATTTTAAATAATAAATTTCAAGTTTCTATGTATTTTATTTATGATTTATCTCTCCTATTAAGTTTCTTTCTTGAAAAAACATATTCTCTCTCCTAAAATTTAATTGTCTATTGGATTTAAATAAAAACTTTGTTCTTTATATTTAAAAATTAATGAAGATGTTTTTTTATTTATATGAAAGATTCTCTTTAAAATAACGAGCACCATTAAAGATATCTAACACTCTCCCTAGCTATTTTTCAATTATGTAGTACTTCTAAAAGAGAGTTATATCTTAGAATAGATCAATTTTTTTAGATATTTCCTTCCTTGTACAAACAGAGATATCTTCAAACGGTAAGACACAAGGTTAAACTTATTCTCTAAATCAGTGTTTTAAAATTCGGCCCGGGTGACTTCGTTTAATTGGGAACCGAAGCTTGGGCCGGGTTTTAAAGGGATAAATCTCGGAATATGCAATTCACTTGGTATGACTTGCAGTTGGATCGGGGTTATTGTAGCTAACCTTCAGTTCAACCGGTTTTGGGACAAAACCAAGTTACTGCATAAAAAAAATCCCCAATCCCTTTTCATTTTTTCAAATCTCAATTCGATGACATTAGATGGATTCAACCTCCAACGCAATTCATTTCTTCATCTTCAATTTCAATCTCCAATTCCTAAAATTAAAATCCTTAAATCCTATTCTTCAATTTTGTTTCTTCATTTTTAAAATACTTCTCTATCCGCATTTTCAACTCTAATATCAAACAACAAACCGATTAAATCACATATAATTCAAATCTCAAAAATCCAATATATTTTTTCAATCCAAGCTTCAAATTTTTTCAAAATAAACTTTAGTAATACAAAATAAATCGAACCCATAATCCTTTCATAAATCCTAGCTGAGAATTCTACCAGAATAAATTTTAGATTCAATAAAAAATAAATTAGGGCCAGAAGAGAAAACAAAGAGAAAGAAGGGGAGAAAAAGAAAAGAGGAAGGAAAAAGAAAGAGGAGAGGAGAGAAGAAAGTTACAAAAGAGAGGGGAAAGTGATAGAAGAAAGAAGAAAGTGACGAAGAGAAAGAGAAAAACAAAAGTATAGATGCTACAGTAAGGATAGGCGCAAGGCTGATTGAGGTTGGTTGGGGGATCACCCGTCCCCACCTCATCCCTGGGATAGGGAGGTCGAGGAATCCCCATCCTATCCCTCCCTTGCCCTGCCTCGGAGGTTAGGGATTTGCGGGCATTAATCCTCGTGGGAAAATTCTTCCCAGCTCTTGGCGGGGAATTTTCCCCAAATGGAGGATTATTTCAAACCTTTTTTTTTTTTTTTTTTTAAATACATTGATTTTGTATAATTCTTTAGTGATAATTCTAGATAGTAAAAGAAAAACTCATTGAAATGTATGAATAAAATTGTGATATGAAAATTGTTATAAAATATCAAAGGCAGAATATTTGTTGTCTATAATTAGATTAGAGTAGCTGTTGACAATTTATTTTTGCTAGCTGTAGGATCTTTGCTACTATTATAGGATCAATTGTAGGATTTTTAGTGATTGATTAGTTTACTAATTATTTCTTTCCTTACTTAATTTTCTTGTAAATCCTATAAATACCTACTATGTATATCAATTCAATATAAGAATCATATGACTTCGATTCCAATTCTATAGTCTTTATGGTATCAGAGCAAGGCTTTTTTCTAGGAATAAAATTGTCAGAAAAAATTCTTCACTATGTCTGAGATTTCATCTGTGTCTCCCCCTGTTGTCACCACAAAAAACAATGAAACCAAGATTACCCATACCGAGTCCCATTCCGTCCAAGTTATGACTATTTGACTCAAAGAAGGAAACTTTATTCGTTGGTCCCAATCTGTACGTATGTATATTCGAGGGAGAGGCAAGATCGGGTACTTGACTGGTGAAATCAAAGAACCTGAGAAGACAGATCCATCATACGCTACATGGGATGCATAAAATTCCATGATTATGTCATGGCTGGTGAACTCTATGGATGAGGACATCAGTTCCAATTATATGTGCTACCCCACTACAAAAGAACTTTGGGATAGTATTGTTGAGATGTATTCTGATCTTGGAAACTAATCTCAAATTTATGAGTTACAACAAAAGGTGGGAGAAATCTAACAAGGAGAAGGTAGCTTGTCTAAGTACTTTAATGCCCTTAAGGGCCTTTTGCGAGATCTGGATCTGTTTAACAATTATGAGTGGAAGAATTCAGATGATTGGAATCACCACAAGAAAACTGTGGAGAGTGCAAGAATTTTTAAATTCTTGGTTGGACTAAACGTTGAGTTTGATGAGGTTAAAGGAAGAATCCTTGGCAGACAACCTCTTCCTTCCATTGGAGAAGTCTTCTCGGAAGTAAGAAGGGAGGAAAGTTGTCGAAGCGTTATGCTGGGTAAGAAGGAAACTACAAGATCAGGATCTACTGAGAACTTTGCCTTGGTTACTATCAACAATGCTGAAAATTCCGCATTTGCTACAAACTGGTCACAATACAACAACAAAAACCAGTAAAGGCTTTATGAGAAACCACGAGTATGGTGTGACTACTGCAACAAAGCACATCACACTAGAGAAAATTGTTGGAAGCTCCTTGGAAAACTAGCAAATGGGAAGGGCAGCAGACCTAGAGATAAAAGTAGTCACATAACTTCCAAAGCCAATGCAGCCGAAACTAATCATTTGAGCAAGGAGCAGTTTGATCAACTTCTTCAACTACTAAAATCCAATCCATCATCAGGTATCCCTCTTGGATCTGTTGCCCCAATCAGGTAGAATTCCTAATGTTAACTCTAGTGTTTTAGCCTTTGCACCATGGATCATTGATTTAGGTGCATTCGATCACATGACTAGTATTCCTCATTTGTTTAAATCATATTCACCTTGTCCTGGTAATAATAAAGTTAGGATTGCAGATGGAAGCTTTTCATCCATTGCTGGAAAAGGCTCAATAAAAATTTCAGAAACAATTGAACTAAAATATGTTCTTCATGTTCCTAAACTCTCTTGTAATCTTTTGTATGTGAGTAGATTACACAAGATTCTAATTGTCATGTCACATTCTTTGATTCGCATTGTGAATTTCAAGACCAGAATTCAGGGACGATGATT